ACATGGTTCTCTGGAGAGTCACCCAAGGAGGTTCCAGTGGTCCTTTCCTCGTTACCGCTGAGTAGTACTCCCCGGCGTGCCTGTACAACTGTGTGTGTATCCATCCGCCCCTTGAAGGACCCCTGGGTCGTTTCTTGGTCTGGGCTGTCCTGAATATAGCTGCTGTGAACAGTCAGGGGCAGGTTTTTGTGTGAACGTAAGTTTGCGTTCCTCTCGGATAAATGCCAAGGAGGCCACTTGGTGGGGCGCATAGAGGTTGCATGAGTGGCTTCTGAAGGGTGCGCTTAGGAAGGAGGGGCAGGTGGAGGGTGGGGGCTGTGCCGCGGGTGGACATGGTGGGAAGTGTACGCCTGGGAGCTGGGCCACGTGGGTTCAGATGCAAGGTCAGACTTTACGCCCTTGGTGGGTTTTATCCATCTGTAAAATGGGGATAAAGTGAGCCTGTTGTATAGCCGATGCATATAAAGTACTTGGTACATAGTAGGTTCTCAATACAGAGAAGCCATTTTTTTTGTTTTTCTTTTTGTTTTTTGTTTTTGAGAGAATGTGAGTGTGGGAGAAGGGCAGACGGGGAGAGAGAGAGAATCTTAGGCAGGCTCCATGCTCACAACCCTGGGATCATGACCTGAGCTGAAATCAAGAGTCAGACACTTAACCGACTGAGCCTTCCAGGAGCCCCTAGAAACTGTTCTTAATATCAGTTCAAAGAAAACCCACCAGGCCAGAGCGAGGTCTGTGCCCCAGAGGTGGCCTCCAGGAGGCCTTTAGCTTGCCACCCGTGGCTCTGGGGCATCACCTTCTACCTTGGGCAGAGCCACACTTCCAGTTTACCAGTTGTCCCTTCAAAGGCCGAGCCCAAACTCTCCCACCCCCCACTGTTTCCCTGAGAAGCCCCTGGCCCCGGTCGAGCCTCCCCCCTCCTCCCTGCCCACCTCCAGCTTTTCTCTGAGAAGCCCCTGGCCCCGTTCTCAGGCTGGGCTGTAAGTCTCTGGACGGGAACTGGCATTCCCCAGTGAACTTGGCCAGGTCCATGCCAGGGATCAAAGGAATCCCAGGGAATTCCAGATTGTGCCAGGCTCTGCTGGTCTGGATTTGCCTCACAAAGTCTAAGAATGTGCCTGGATCATTTCCGACGTTGCTATGATTTAGCCTCATTCCAAACAGTGTATTGAGCTCTTACTGTGTTCAAGGTACTGCGCTAGGCATTGCAAAGGGCCCAGAAAAAAAATCACTCTTTTTCAGCAGATCAAAGCAGGTGAGTCCCTTGGGGAGCCCCCTGTGGCCACATGATAAAGTCTGCATTCCTGGGGCACCTGGGTGGCTCTTTCAGTTAAGCATCTGACTTTGCCTCAGGTCATGATCTCATGGATCATGGGTTCAAGCCCCACGTCGGGCTCTGTGCTGACAGCCCAGAGCCCGGAGCCTGCTTTGGATTCTGTGTCTCCCTTTCTCTCTGCTCCTCCCTTCCTTGCACGCTTGCGCGCACTCTCTCTCTCTCTCTCTCCCCCTCTCTCCCTCCCTCCCTCCCAAAAATAAACATTAGAAAAAGTCTGTTCAGTGGGCACCCGGAGCTCTTGGTCTGGCTTGACCCTGCTGTCCCAGCTCCTTGTCCTGGAGGGCCGCCTCTCCTGGCCACACGCCTCATGCTCCTGCCTCCAGGGCGTCACCGTGTCCCGTGTCTACGCACTGGCAGACCACCGCGCCTTGCTCACGGTCTTAACTCTGCTCGTGTGCCCTTCCATCCTGGTGAGATCTTGCCTGTTTTCTTTTTAACCAAAAACGTAGCCTATGCCCTGGATGAGGTATTTAAGGAGCACACAGGCTGTACAATCAGAGCATCTCATAGCCCGGAACCGCGGGCCCTTCCATAAGGCAGCCGTGCTTTTGGGACTGTGCCGTTCTCCTCTCTCCGTTCATTTCACAGTGTGTCTTCCTGGAGAGGGTTTCACACCTGTACCATCGGAGTTGCCTCCTTACAGTCGTGGCTAAAGCGAGACCCGGCATTCGTTTATGTGGCTCCCCCGTGATTTGTGTCAACAGTCCCTTGTTGATGGCATCTTGGCTGTCCCCACCCCTGGGATTTTCTGGGTCATGCTATGTGTCATTGGCACATGGCCAGAGGGGGCTGTGTACCACTGCACCCTGGTGCCCCCCACCCCCTGCCTGCCTTCATTAGATTAGTGCCTTGCGTTCTGGAACTCTCCATGACCCCCGAGGACAGGAATTGTGCTAGGCTTCCCTTCTCCATTTGGCATCTGCCATGTTTGCTGACCATCCGTTTCCAGGAGCACATGGTGGTCTGGGATTCGCCCCTCATGCTGCCGCTATGAGTCCTGTTTCTTGTCAGGGCCCCAGCGATGGCAGAGTTGCAAGAGCAGGGGCGCCCGCACCGCTGCCTCCATCCGGCTTCGTGTTTGGTGCATACCGGCTGCATCCTGGTGGCCTAATGTGTTTCCATGGCAATGGAGCCCCACAGCATCGTTCTTACTGGCCACCTACTGTGTCACCAGAGGGATGGGCCACAGTATGACCAGTTCCGTCCTGATCGAATTTAGCTTTAAAATAGTTTGATGGAATTTCTCTTTAAAAAAAATTGGAGAGGACAGATCGATGCTTGGGTGTCCGCTGCCGAGAAAGGATGGGGACCCCCAGCCCCCACGACAGAAGCCGAGGCGGTAGCGACCGTTTATTGAGCACTTCCTCGAATGAGCACATGAGCTATTCGGGTTGAGCTCTGTTTTCAGATGCTACAGCAGTCTTCTGAGGCAGGCACTGTCGTCCTTGTTTTATGGAGAGAGAAACAGACCCAGAGAGTAAGTAGTTTGGTAAAGGTCACTCAGACAATGCATTTCAAGAGTTGGGATTCCAACCCAGGTGTCCTTGACTGAGGACTTGAGTTGTACCTTCGGAGCCCTCCTGCCTTTTGAGGAGGAAGGAAATGAGAGGTGGGGGGCGGGTGGAAGGAATTGGTCCAACAGCCGCCGCCCCAGAACTGAGTGAGGTCGTACCCAGAAAGATGGCCGCCGGGGGGCCTTGACTCCGCCATGGAGGCGGCACAAAGGGTCCCTTTGAAGGGAGAGCCCACAGCACCCCGCCCCCCAACCCTGCTCCCCAGCCAAGCATCCAGGGGGCTGGCGGGCATTTCTGGCTCAGCTTTCTGGCCAGAGCTCGGAGGAGTGGTCTGAAATTCTTTCCTGGAGCAGCTCACTCTTGGTCAGAATGTGTTGCTTCTAGGCTGATGTGGTGCGGAAAATGTGCCTTGGGTCTCCCAGCGTGACCTGGGAGCCTACTGGCCACCAGGTCTCTTCCTGAACAGCCAGTCCTTTGAAAAATGTATTGATTTCCCCCCTCCCTTCGCTGCTCTTGCACTTTGGATGAACCTTGTTTTCGAAGAACAGTAGAAGGTAATTTTCCTGTGCTTGCCAGCTGGCCCGTAATTGAGCAATTTCAATAACACCCACTGTAAAGTCTAATCGAAGTAAACAGGAAAATATGATTTACAATCTGGACGGCAAGTAAATACCAGGGTGCAATTAATTTTTACACAGAGCAGCAGATTCTAAAACATTTTCCTGCACTGAGGAGTTTGTTTTTAATTATAGATTAGGAACTGGACTTTTCTCCTGTTATCGTCCTAATTTTTTGCTTTGGGATGGTGATCTTCAGGTTCCTCGCGTCTGCTGTGACTTCTTTGAAGGTGTAGCCACAGTGGGGTGGGATGGGGACATAGGATCAGAGAAATTGATTTGTAAGGAGCGCTTTCTCGAACCTGAGCTAAGGGCTGTGCGCTTTCGGCATTTGTTTGCGGGGTGACATGGGAGGAGGTGCTGGTGGGCTGTGCGGCATGGTGGCGGGGGGGTCTCGTCGCTGAGCTGGTGGCTCTGGGTGGTGTGGGCAGGCCCTCCGGGGGCTATGACCTGGCTCCGTCCAGTCTAGGGTAGGAGACCAAGCTACGAAGGTCCCCGGTTGCAGATGTGTCATTGTTGAGATGTCCTTCTAGGGATGAGAAATATGTGCCTTTAAAATTCTTTTTTAAGTTTATTTATTTATTTTGAGAGACAGGGAAAGAGCATGAGTGAGAGAGGGATAGAGAGAGAGAGACAGACAGACAGACAGAATCCCAAGCAGGCTCTGCCCTGTTAGTGCAAAGCCTCACACGAGGCTCGGATCTCAACAAACTGTGAGATCATGACCTGAGTCGAAATCGAGTCAGATGCTTAACCGACTGAGCCACCCAGGTGCCCCGAGGTGTGTGCTTCTCATTAGCCAGGGCGCCTGGGCGGCTCAGTCGGTTAAGCGTCTGACTCTTTGATGTCAGCTCAGGTCATGATCTCACACTTCGTGAGTTGGAGCCCCACATCGGGGTCTGCCATGACTGTTCGGAACCTGCTTGGGATTCTCTCTCTGCCTCTCCCCTGCTCATTCTCTCTCTCAAAATAAATAAATAAATAAATAAGCTACCCCTCCAAACAAACAAAGAAACAAACAAACCCCCCAGATTCTTCCAGTAGCTTCCGTCCATACCCAGGTGGAGGGTAGTAGACCCCTTACTGACTGAGGCTGCCTGAGTGCCGACCCCTTCAGTTTTGACTGTGGGGCTGCTCTGTATCTGACCCTCAGCCTTGGGCATATACGTAGCTGTGCGTAAAGCCAGCTGGGTGTAAGATGTCACATGACTTGAGCAGAGTCTGGGGACAGCAGATTGTGACCGACCCAGACCCCAAGATAGGTCTGAAAGGTGCCACGTGGCTGAACTGAGACTCGTTGCTGGACCCGCCAGCGCTCTGACATTAGGGACCCCCCAAGGCCGGCACGAGGTGGGGTGGGGACTCTGAGAAGGTGATTCCGGCCTTTGCGGCCACAGTGCTTCTCCTTCAGCAGGGAGGCAGTTCCATTCCAAGCAGGGTGCCGGCGTGGGGTTGGCGGGGGCTTGGGCAGCTCTCTCAGGGCCCCCGTCTTCCCGAGGCCTGAATCCCTTTGCCTTTCTGTTGTCTCTGCAGGGAGTTGAGCGCACTTGGCCGTTTCCTGGAAGAGCCCCAGCCCGAGGGTGAGCGGCCGATGGGGAGCTGTTACTGCTGACGCCAGTCACCTGGGAGGTGCCCGGGAGGCCACCTCTGCCCCAGGCTGCCCGACCGAAGATGGCTCACACCCACCCTGGGATGGAGCCCAGTGCCTGAGGTCCTTACCATGGTGATGATCCTGAGTCACAGCCTTGACGACCAGGGAGCTGACTCCATAGCATGCAGGACCTTCAACCCTGAGCTGGTAAGGACCCGGCGGGCCTCATCTCTCTGATGACCTTTCTTGAGGCCTGCTGTCCAGGCGGGGCTGCGGCCCGAGCACGCAGGCTTAGCGGAGTGAGTCCGAGGTGCAAGGGGCAGAACTCTGGGAGGTGCTGCAGGCCAGGGCCGCGGGCGCAGTGACCCGGAGCCTGGCTGGTGCTGGCGGGAAGTAGCTGGCAGGGTCCTCCGGCGCGTGAGGAGGGGAGGCCAGCACCCTGCTCAGTAAGACCAAGCGTGGCTCCGCCGCCCCGGCCAGGCTGAGGCCCACCTTCTTTCTGGTCTCCACCCGGCGAGGGGAGGGGGTTTCCAGAAGGAAGGCGGTGCCCCCCTTCCAGCGGGCGGGGCAGAGCGCAGGCTGCTGCCTCAGGAATGTCAGGGGCGGGAGCGGATGGGGGGAGAAGGTGTGGTCTGGCAGCCCAGGTGGGGCGACAGCTGCCTTCTCCCCAAGTCGTCGTCTCACCAAGCTGCCCGATGGGCTGGGCCACAGAGGCAGGTGGCCCTGACCTTCTCAGACTGAGCACAGAGTAGCCGCCTAAAGTTCTTCCAGCCCCAGGTCCTCAGAGGCAAGTGGGGCTGCTCCCCTGCAGAGGGACCGAGAAGAGGTCCTGCTCTGGCGTAAATAAACTTGGGGAGGAGTTTGCAGATAGCTGTGCCCCCCGCGCCCTGCTGCTGCTGTGGTCAGCGGGCGCCCGTCCCGGTGCCCTTCACGGCCCCTCGTGAGAGCCCACAGTGACGCCCTCGCGGGCTCCCTCCCCAAGCTCACACCGGCCACCAGGCCAGGAGCAGCCGGAGTGGGCCGGGTCTCCAGCCCTTGGAGGAGGGTGGGGAAGCTGCCCGCCGTGGGTGTGCCGGGCACCGGACGGGAAGAGTTCCGCAAGCGAAGATGAGCCGAGGCTCTCTGCCCATCGCGGCTTCCTGTCCACTTTGCATTGAATGTGTGTCTATAACTAGATTCTCTCTCGCTGCCCCCACCGCTGCCTCTCTAGTCTGGAAGTTTGTTGTCACAGATCTACTTCTGGCTCTTTAGCCTGTTAGGCGCCCAGCAGGCAGAGGGACTGCAAGGCAGAGGCACCCCTCCTCCGCCCCGGCCTTCCGCAGGCTTCCCACCTCGGGCTGAGCCAGTGCCCGAGCCGTGACCGTGTCCTCTGGCTTTCTGCGACCATGCTGCTTTGCTCTCCCTCTGCTCCCTCCACTCTGCTCAAGCCACACTGGCCTTCTTCGCTCAACATGTCAAGCACAAGCCTGCCTCAGGGCCTTTGCACTTCCTCTGTGGCCCGGAACACTCCCCCTTAGCAGGACTCCTTCCCTCCCTCCCTTTCTTCTTTGTTCACTCAACCTAAAATGGAACTCTGCCCCCCTCACCCCTTCTCCCACGCTTTCTGCCCCTCACCCTGTCTCTCTCCCCTGGGAGCGCCTGTCCCTTTCTGACATTTCACTCTTGTTTGTCGAAAGACTGCACTGAAGTGTGAGCTTCGTGAAAGCAAGGAGCTTTGTTTCTTTTGCTTGTTGCTGAGTATCCAGCGCCCATGACCAGGGCCTGGGAGGCGCTCAGGGCTGTTTGTAGAGGGAAGGAACGTGGGTCCCTGCACCCCCACTGCTGCGTGTTTGCTCTGGCTCCTCCCTGGCTGCTGCTCAGGGTCACAACCGAGGTGCGGGTACCACTGCTCTGCTGTCCGCTGTTGGGGGGTGGGGGTGGGGGTGGGGCGTTCTCTCGCTGGAATCCGAAGAACACATCTGGAGTAGCTCTGGCCAGAGAGGAACGACCTCCGGGGTGAGGGCCATCTGGAGGTCCCCAGGGAGGGTCCCTGCCCGGCTCCAGCTGTGCTGCTGGCCCCAGCAGCTGCCACTGCACTGGGTCCCATCTCAGGGCCGGCCTGGCCGCGGAGCTGGTCCCGGGGCACGTGGGCCCCAGGTCAGCTGAGCTGCTCTCCGAGGAGGCAGGGCCTGAGTGCCTGCCAGCAAGAGCGCGGCCTCCCAGCCCCAGCCCGGGAAGGCGGACCTGTCTTCTCAGAAAAGAAAAGGAGGGTCGAGGGCAGCGGCCTTCAGGTCCGGGCACGCACAGTGAGCCCCCGAAGGCAGACCCCGCATCGTCTGGGCCTGGTGCTGACGTCCGTGAGGCGGAAGGGAGGGTACGGTGATGGCAGAGTGCGCGCTCGCCCCGCTGGCGGTGCTGGGAGGAAGCACATGGGGGCTTTGCTTCGGCTTCCTAAACTGGCAACGCCAGCCTCCTGTAAATACCATCAAGATAACAACGGGAACATGGAAAAGCGTTTCTCTTTTGTTTTCTAAGCAGCTAAGAAGATAACAAAGTGGGGGGGAGGCTCCAGATTTGAGAAGAAAACATGAGTCACAGGCCACTTTGGAGTTAGGGGAGCAGGCCCTGGACGCACAGCAGCCCAGAAGCAAGGCTGAAGCTGTGGCTGAAAGTCACCTGGGAGGCCCCCCAGCGACCTTGGGGACACCGGGCATGGAGGCCCGTAGTCCCTCCCTCCCTGCCCTCTGAAGTCTCTTGTTCTTTTTCTAAAAACTAAACGCGGGTGACAAGTGACTGGCCTTGTTCCCAAGAGAGATGTAGGAAAACAGAAAAAAAAAGCACTGACGAGTGCTCGGCGTTTTGCCTTTCCCGGCGCCTGGCCCTGGGGAGAGAGGGCTGAGGGCCCCGCCCGGCCCGGCTTGCACAATGTACGGCAGTGAGGACGGTGCTCGGTTCCCCTTTCCCCCACTCTGCTGGTCGCTTTCCTCTGCAGAGCGGGCTCTTCCTCCTCGTGTTCTAACATTAGCTCCCGCTGCTGGCCGCCAGCCCGGACGGCTGACCTCGGGAGCGGCGTCCTCCGGCCCCTTCCCCGCACGCCCACGCTCAGGCCACGGCCCGTTCTCCCGGGCCCGAGCGACCGTCTTCCCTGGCCCGGCCTGCCTCCACCCCCCGGCCAGCGTCAGCCCTCCCTCGAGTCTGGAGACCATCCTGGGATGGGGGGTGCAGAGTGGGGGGTGGAGGGCGGCCGCCTCTCTTTCCCCAGCCTCCAGGTGTCTCCCATAGCAGCCAACGCTGGTTTCAGGAGCAGGTACTTCTCCCTGCTCTTGTCAGACCAGGGTGCCGAGGCTGCGATCTGCGTGCTCGGAAGAGTCCGGCAATCCGGCTCTCGCACCCAGCCGCCTGGGCGCGGAGGGGCTTCGTACTGGAAGCCACCCTGAGTTGGCCCCGGGCTCCGCAGCCCCGGCCGGGATCGGTGGCAGCGCCCAGGCCGGCCGGAAGTTAGAGGCCAGAGGCGCACGTGCGGTCCGAGGCAGTCCGGTGCCTTTTTCCTTCCTCCCCTTCGCCACTACCCAGGCCTTGGCTAACCCTGAAGCTGGGGGCGGGCGGGGGTGGTGGTTGGGCAGGGCCACCGCTCTGTCTCTGTCGGCATCTTTGAGCCTCCACACAGGGGCACTGGTCCTCATTCGGTCTCTTTTATTCTTGTCAGGCGTGGCTCCGTCTTCTGCGTCCCACAGCCGTGGTCTCACTGTGCTCCTCTTAGGAGGCCGGGGTGCCCTGCTTGTGCTGCTCAGGTGCGTGGGTGTGAGCGTGTCCATGTCACGTTGTGGTTCCCCAGCACACTGCCACGGGGAAGAGGCGATGGGACCGCCTTAGCCACCGCTGTGCGGCAGAAGGTTCTGAAGAAGCAGGATTGTGGCCAGAGACGAGCTCTGCTGTTTTCCATCTGAGCGAGTTCCTCGTTAGGTGAACAGCTGGACTGTCTTTTTGTGCAGACGGCCCGGAAGCCCCACTTTGAGTTCCATCTTTTTCCTTCTCTGTGGAGGATCTGATTCCCTAACCTTCTCTTGTGATCTAAGGAGTATCACAGAGAGCAGACCCTGGGGTAGGCTTGGGGAGAGAGGCGTCACGGAGAAAAGTACTTTCTGCAGACACCAGCCACGGCCTGGGTGCTCACTTCAGTGTGTGGTATGAACCCCGAGGCTGAGGCTAGGAGGCCCCCAGGGCCCGGGGGGGCCTCCCCACCTAGTGACTGGTTGGCCCATCCTTCCTGCAGTGGTGCAGACAGGGTTTGACGGGGTGGGGGAGGGCCGGCTGCAGAATGCTACAACCAGTGGGAATTTGATCATATACTAGGGGATCAGTGGGCTCTGGCCAACTCGTGGGAGCTTGGCTTGGGCCTCAGGGAAACCTGACAGCAGTCAGGGTGTGCCTGGGCCCGGCGTCCTGGGAAGCTGTGGGCGGGAGCTGGTGAGTGAGGTCCCAGGGAGGGCAGGGGCAGGGCAGCTCGGAGGGGTCTGGAAGCGGGTGCAGTCCCAGCACTTCCTCTCAGTCTGGGAGTCGGGCCCCAGGGCAAAGAGGGCCACACCCGTGCCCTGTGCCCGTCCCGTGTCCCGCCAAGATGCTGTGCTGTACGGAGCGGGGAGTCCCAGGGCAGGAGCGGGGTGCTGGAAGCAGAAGAAGGGGGGCTGCATTAGCAGGTCATGCGTTTTCACGTGCTCCGTGGGGCTCGCCGAGAACAGGGGACGTGGAGAAGGTGTTCCTTCAAGTGGTGCGACACCTGGGTGCAAGTGATCGCTACCCACCTGTGCCCTGGGGTGCGCGGCCCTGGGAGGAGCCTTTGCTGAGTGTTGGTGCTGCCGGTGAGGCCTTGTAGAGAAAAGGCGGGTGCAGAGGGTGCCCTTTGCCTGGGGTGGTCAGGGAAGGTGGCCGAGGAGGCCGTGTGGCCAGAGTGAGGCCTGTCGTGCAAAGATGTGAGGCGGCACTGGGCAGGCCAGTGTCACGTGCCTGGGCTTGGCTTGGGTGGGCCCGGTGGCTGCGGGGAGAGGGGTGACGGGTTGCTGTGAGTTGTTGGGGTTTGTAAGCAGAGGAGCGGCGTCTCCTGGCCTCTGTGGGTCCTGGGTGGCGAATGGATGATGGGCCCAGGGCACAGGCTGGGGACGGGTTAGGAGGCTGCTTCGGGCTCACAGTGGAGGGCCGTGGTGGCCCGGAGCAGGACAGTGGGGGCGGCGAGCCGCACTGCCAGGACAGTGTGTGTTCTACGGCCTGGGGAGTGAATAGCTGTGGCCGATGGGGCTAAGTCCTTGCCGAGCGAGTGGGCAAGGGCCCGGGAGCCCCTGTGTGCTGGCTCCGTGGCTTCCCTCTGGGGCGGTGGGCTGGCCACGCTGGCTTAGTGGAAGGAAAAGCCTGTGAGCTGTGCTCCCCTGACCGGTGAGCGGGCTGGTTCACGGGCTCGCCTCCTGTTGTCTGGAATCCTCAAGCCGTGCTCCCTGGCATCTGCCCGAGGGTCCTCGCTCTTTTCTGTTTTTCCCAGCCCCCTCCCGGCTTGGTTTTCTGTGCACTGCCCGCCCGGCTCCCTTTGCCACCTGCCTCCTCGGCGCCCTGCCGTGCGGCAGGGGCCGGCTCCCCAGCAGGCGTTTGCCTTGGGCCAAGGTGCCACCGTAGCCTCGGGGTTTTCTCCCTGGGCTCAGCCACGCCCGACTTCCCTCTCTGAAGCGTCCCGCTACGGGCAGAGCCTGACCGGCGTCCATGGGCCGCACGCTTGGCTGTTTGGGGTGTCACTACCCAGAGTTGCTTGCGTCTTTGTCATCCACTCTCCATTTGGTGACTTCGGTGTGGGCTTTGAGGGCGCGTCCTGCCGTGAGAAGCAAGTCACTTGGAAGAGAGGCAGACACAGCCGTCTGTAATGTGTCCAGCTCTCTCCCGGGATGGCTGTAGGTCGGATGGTCCAGGTCACTGTGAGATCCAGGAGGGCAGCCTGTCCCGAAAGTGGAATTACTGTGTTAAACTGAGGAGTGGGTACCGGAGAAGGCCTGCCCAACCCTTTGCTTCCTCTGGTCCTTGAGCACCAGCCCGGGCAGTTTCCCCGGGAAGCTAGCTCTGACCTCGTGCACCCCGGCCCCCCCGGCCTGGGTCCTCCCCCTGCTCTCCCACACTCCCTGTGGTGCAGTGGTTTCTCTGGGTGACCTTGACCTCCATGAAGCGTGAGCTTCCTGAGGACCAGGGTGGGCATCCTTCACCTCTGTGTCCCAGGCTGGCCGGGGTGGCCGAGCGGATGGACGCGTAGCTGACTGAGGGCACAGGGCTCTGAACTGGGGGACTGGGGACAGGGGTGAGAGAGCTGCTGCCAGGCCCTTGGCGCCCCTTTATCTGGGTGGGCCAGGTGTTCCTAGTCAGCTCCACCCTCATCCTTCGAGGCCTTAAAGCGCCAGGGCCTGGCTTCCCGCCCTCTTCTCAGCCTGGAAGCCCGAGTGTCCCTGTTGTTGGGGCTCCTCTCAGAAGCTGGAGTTCTCTCGGACAGGCCGACTCCTCTGGGGCCCAGAGCTTCTTTCCCCCGTCACGTGGTCAGTCCCCTGGGGCAGCCCGCGTGTGAATACGTTCCGGTACTTACGAGTGGGTGAATGGCGGAAGGAGGGAAGGAGTCGTAGGAAAACTCGAGTTGGCAGACCCTTCTTTCTGGGGCCCTGGTGGACACAGTCTCCCTCTCACCAGAGGTCAGAACAGGCCGCCTGGCGCATGCCTCAGCCAGCACAAGAGAGCCCGGAACGTTCCGTGCTCAGGTTACTGTGTGGCTGCGGAGCAGCGTCGGGTCTTGGGGCTGCCGTGGGCCCCACTGGCCTGCTTCTCTCCCAGCGGTTGTAGCATTTGGCTGAGGGCGGGTGCGCGGTTTGAGGGGAGACGCAGAATGCTTACGGTGGAAAGGGAGACATCGAGATATGGCGCCAAGGACTTTGAAAGGCATAGCTGACTGCTGCGACCAAATCCAACCTTTGAGTTTCTGTTTCAGTTCAGAGAGGGTGCCTGGGGAGGCCTCCGTGTGGCGGTGAAGCAGCTCGCACCGCGAAGGGCCACCCTCCTGAGCTTCAGCTGATGCTTCTGTGTGGAGGAAGAAGAGCTGTTCTCCTGGCATCTCGGTGGGGGGCCGGGGGCAGGAACCGAGGGTGACAGACGGGCCTGTGCTCCTCGTTGGGGGCTCTTCCTGTCATCGAGAGGCCCGCTCTCCTCCCAGCCCGGGCTGTGGGGAGGCCCAGCTTGGGGAACGGAGTATTTCACCCTCATCCGGCGCCCTCCCCCCGCCCCTCACTCACATGCCACGGTGAGGGTCAGGAGCCACTCCTGTGTGTTTTTGAAGCCGTCGACTTGACGGCTTACCGGAGACCTTGGCCACAGAGTCCGGGTCTAATTGCAGGTCAGGTGTTGCCTCTTGTAGTTCACTTTTCTCCTTTCCCTAATCTGACGTCGGCAAAAGGCAGTTACCCCTTTCGCTATGACCTTAGCAAGGGATCAGAACAGGGTCATGTGCAGACGTGCTTCTTATGACTCGAAGAGTGAATAGCTTTTCTGGTTGTTTGCAGCACACGCCAAAGAAGATGAGTCAAGGACCGACCCTTTTCTCTTGTGGAATTATGGGTGAGTAACCAAGGCGGCTGCCAAGAGCCTTCCTCTAGTCCTCCCGCCAGGGCCTGAGTCCTCCAGGTGAGATGCTGGGAGCCCTTCCCCGACCGGCACAGGGAGCAGAGTGGGGGCTGCTATGGGCCCTGGCGGCGCCTGGAGTGGCGCCCAGGCAGCGGGGCCGAGTCTGTGCCTGACAAATGTCGTCTCCAGCCGTAACGTTGAGCGTGTCTGTCTGGTTAAGGGAATCGTGTTCATTTTTTTTTTTAATTCAAAAAATGTACCCCAAGGTAAAGTATAAAATAAAAGTCTCTCTTAGCCCCCACAACCCAGTGGTAACTCTTATTAATATTTAAAAAAAAATTTTTTTTTTTTTTAGTGTTTATTTTATTTTTGAGAGAGAGACACAGAGCACAAGCAGGGGTGGGGCAGAGACAGAGGGAGACACAGAATCCAAAGCAGCTCCAGGCTCTGAGCTGTCAGCACAGAGCCCAGTGCGGGGTTCAAACTCCCAAACCATGAGATCATGACCTGAGCCGAAGTCAGACGCTTGACCAACTGAGCCACCTGGGTGCCCCAACCCTTATTAAATATTTTGGTGTATTTTTATGTTGAGTTTTTTACATAGCCACGTCTAGGATGAACACAGGGTTATATAAAATTAGATACAAAACAGTTTTGTTTTTCCCTTGTTTCACTTAGCAGAAGTTACCATCATTCCGCCATAGCATTAAATTTGTCCGTCCCACGCGGTTTCAGGAGGCTGAAGTACTGTAATGTGCACTAATATGTGTTTAACGTTTTAACTGTTTCTTGGCTGCTGGGTGGAAGGGTGGTTTTATTTGCTGTTGTGATTAACAGTGACTAAGTGTCGAAGTCTTTGTCTTTTGTCTGCCTTTAGGATTATTCCTTAGGAGTTCCCAGGAGTGGACTAGAGAGGCCAGAAGGCAGGAACGTTTTTAAGGCGCTTGCTTCATATTGTTGACTTGCTTTCCAGAAAGGTTGTGTTGGCCTCCTGTGCCCATGCAAGTGTGAATTACTGTTTGACGAGGGGATGACTGTATTGACTATATTGATTCTTCTGTGCCCCCGATGATCGGGCACGATCCCTCCTTTCACCGTGACTCCTGCCCCTTGTGGGGACACCTTGCCAGAGTTTCTGTAATGGTTGCACTGAGGCAGAAACAAGCCTCCAGGACGGGCCACCACATCTGGCCTTCGGACTCCAGGCCCGCCTTCACGGGGCCGTATCAAGTCTTCTTGCCTTTTTTCTCAGCCTTTGACTCTGCGCACAGGGTTTTCTTTTTCTTCTTTGGACTCCGTCCTGTGGATAGGGTGGCGAGGGTGGAGGGGATGCTGGGTACGTCACAGCGAGCGCCAGGCCCCTGACTTTGTGGGGTCTCCAGGATTCTGCAGCAGCCTCGGCGTAGGGCCGGCCGGGACGTCCAGTCCACACCTGGGGAAACCAAGGCCTAGTGGGCTGACTCCCACCAGGCTCATTTGGCAGAGTTGAACCCAAGTTGGGGGAGAAGGAAGAGAAGGAAGGTTTTGTTTTTTGTTTTTCCCTCAGTCACAAGCCGCAGCGCTGTAGGAGAGCCCCAGACGGCCGTCTTGATGCTGCCACCTGGAGGAAATGGAAACAGGGAGATCACCTGGCCTTGGTTTCCCCCGTGACACACTTCTGAAACCTGTCCCCCACATGGGGCTTGAATGAGCACCTCGTTGGTGGTTAACGGCTCTCAGCAAACCCTCGGCAGCTCAGCCACATGGCGCAGGCTTGCCTCGTCGCCTGCTTTGTGGGCGGGAGTCGCTTGTGCTGTGGTTGAACTGCCTGCCTTGGTCCAGCCAGGAAGGAGAGAGGGGCTCCGGGCATGCTCAGCCCCTCAGCCGTCGTCCCCCGGGCCAGGCTGGTGGACTGGGCCGTGCAGACGTGGGTCTTTATTTCCAGGCTGTTCATGGCTGACGTGGGCCAGTTCCAGGGCGCGGCGGCTCCAGAGCCCCCCTGGCCTTCTCCCCGGCTGCTCTCTCCCCCACGTGCTCACCTCTCTGCTGGCCGGCCCCTCTGTGATTTGGGGAGGCCCTGACCCGTCTGAAGCGTGCCTTCACGGTTCATTTCGGGGGCATGTTCTAGTAGGTGTTTGCTGAGTGCCTAATAAGTGTCAGGCACTTGGCACAGAGCTAGAGCGAATCAGCCCCTGCCCTCAGGTGGGTTTCTGTCTGTGGAGGTGAGAGGTGGAGGAACAGAGAACTCAGCCCATCTTGCTGAGCCTCGGTCCCCTCATCTTGCAGATGGCAGTTCTTGGTGGGACCTAAAGGGACAGCAGCACACAGCGGGTGCTGGCTCGGTCCCTCATCCCGTTTCCGGGCACTCGTTCGGGGGGCGCGTCAGCAGTCCGAGGCCTCCCACGCCTGTGTGCTGGGGGAAGCTCAGGTGACCGCTCCTGCCCGCTCTGACCTGTGAATCGAGGTGTGGCCTCACCCTGCACCGTGAACTGGGCGGGCATCCCAGGTGGTGAGATTTCCTTTGAGGCCTGCCTGCTTTTTAGCAGCACTTGGAGTCCAACTGGACTTTTCAAGAGGGTTTTGAGCCTTTCCAGGGCTGGACACGACTCAGCCAGGACAAAATGTCCTGATGCTGTAATCACCAACCCCCCTGTCTGTCTCCTGGAGAGAGAGGACTCGTGTTCTGGCCCCGATCGGCGGACTTCTGTGATGGCTGGGGACGGCTTGGGCCTGCGACTGGGGGCACGTCCCTCCTGAGCCCCCCATGCAAGGGTCCTAGTTGGAAGCCTGTGCGAGTTTGAGTGTCCTACGCGTCCTTAAGAAAACCCAGGCAGGTGCTTTAGGGTGGGGAGTGCGGCGGCCTGTTTGCTTCCTCTTAAAAGGCCACCCTTTCAAGTAGTTCAGCCTTCTCTGTGCCTACTTAGGTAAAATGCCTCACTAATAGAATCGAGTGCTCACAGCAGCGTGTGTTCTTTTTAGGTACTTTATGTTATTGTGAGCTGAGTTATGGGCCCCTCCCCAGCTTTGTCTCCGCCTCCCCTGCCCCACACACCCCAAGTTTGGAAACTTGATATAAATAAGTGGTTTTGTGCTTGTCCAAAGTGGGGGAGGGAAGAAAGCTGGGGTGAGAGGTGAATGGGAGAAGCAGGGCCGATTGGGGCCAGGCCACTGCCTGGCTCGCTCTGTACCAGGGCCCGGTGCTCCGTACCAGGTCGTTAGCCCAGCCCTGTCCCTGAAGGGCTCTTACGAGCAGAGACTGCGTTTTGCCCCTTGGCTTCCTTTCTCGCCTCCCATACCGTCCTGAGGACACTTTTCTTTGCTGCACTGGAATTTCCTCTGCAAGCAGCTTCTGCGGGGGAGAGCTACGCACATGCTCGGTTATTGTGTCCTCAGCACAGGAAGCCTTGGTCAGGTGGCGGCTTGGGTGGTGTGGGCCGCCCACTGGTGAGCCGGCCTGGCAGGCAGGCCAGCCCTCGCTGCCGGCCACGATTTCTAGTGGGCGGAGAAGGGGGCTCGGCTGCCCCTGAGAGAATCGCTCTGTGCTTCAAGAGGTAGGGGCTGTACGCGAATCCTTTCCGCGTGGCTCCCCCCATGTCCCCTATTGTCCTCCCTGGGAGATGCTTCTTCATGCTGACCCAGGGGCACATGTGTATTAGTTTCATCTCTTTTGGTGAAACAGGCAAGTGGGGCGCAAGCAGGCTCCACTCACCACCCTTGGCTAATTGCACCCATGAACTGAGTCCTGTAGCACAGGGACAACGGGCAGTACGTAGTCCATTCTCCTCACCCCTCGGGCGAGGAGAGATCTGGAAATCGAATAATATGTGAGAAAGCGAACGCATTATCCATTATTGCAGAGAGGCCACTAGGAAAAGTCGTGCAAATGCAAATCAATGAACAGAGAACAAAACAATTCATATGCTAAAAAAAATTGCATGGAAACCCATAATTACTTTAGGAGTTATGGTAATAAATTATTTATTAATGTAAATTATTTCACAGGCAGAGAACATAGAGAAACTTGAGCAGAAGGATCATGCATTATGTATAAAAGGGAATTGTAAAAATATGATAGCAACCCTTACTTGTGCCACTCCACTTCAGGTTTGTCCGCATTTTAATTATAAGGCCTTACTTTCTGTGTTTAATTACTTGGCTGTTAAAGTCTGCTCCGTACATGAAAGGGTTGCTCCCGGGGGCTCTGTCCGTGTTAATTTCTACAGGGTAAACCAGTTGGCTGAGCCGAGCCGCATGGGACTGAAAGATCCCACGTTGAGATTGGACAGCTTTCGGTCTCTTAACGCTGCCACCACTCGTTGCTGACCGTGGAATGGGATCGCACCTCGGGTGAAAGCGCCGGCACCCAGAGGTGGGCCACGTTAGATTTCCTAGAACGAGCAGAGGACTGGGGACGAAACGGACAACAGTAATGGCACCTGAGCGGCTCAGGCTGGTTTCTGGTCTCAGCTGCCGCTGCTTCCGTCTCTCCCAGAGGTAGCCACCTGGAATACGGCCATTGGACCAGAGCCTCCCCTGCGCCACAGGCTATCAACCAAAATCGGCTAGAGGGAGCTTCGCTTTCATTTTTAAAAGCACATCTGTATACGACTCTGCAGACGTGTGACTTTTCTGAAGTGTGCCTTTTCTTCTTTATAGATCTTTGTGTATCATCGGTATGTGTGCGATTTTCCAGTCCCTCGAATAGCTTAAGGTTTGTCCGTGCAGAGTGCTTTACGTGGTGCCTCGCACCATTTATCGGTTTCAGACGGTGTTTCTGGAGTCAAGTACAGACTGGAAGTAGGTACAAGGTGTAGTTGGCCTCCCGGCCTGCCTTCTCACCGGGCTGGCCTGCCTTGGGGTGGCGAGGGGGCCCGTGGCGGTGCCAGAGGACCGGGACTGACAGCTGCCTGGCCAACTGGGCGCCGCCCGCCACGGTGCATTGCCAGGTAGAAAGGTGCTCAGGTTTGGGGCAGCCTGGCCCAACTGCAGGAGCGTGGCCTTGGGATTGCAGACTC